TCCAGCGGGAGGGGGTATTTCAGTATCCGCTGGATGGGTTTAATGAGGTAAGACTCCAGAGTAGAGGAGTGCTGCCGTCGGGGATTCTGAGCATCCAGAAATGCCTTGAAAGCAGTGTCTGTCTTGGCTGGAAGATCAAAATGAAGCGATTGGATAAATCAAAAATCAGAACAGCTGCCCCGATAAAGTGACTTTTCCAGCTTTAGATTAATTTATCCAGAGACATTTTGCAAGGAAGTACAGATTTATCAGGTCCACAGTATTAGATTAATGGACTTCAGGTTTTGAATTACTGATACTTTGCCACAGATATGCTATTTATGGTGTAACAACAGGCACCCACCTACCGTACCAATACATGCAGTTTTTAATTTTGCTATCCACAGTATTTCTGACCTTGCAACTATTTTAGAGCAGCATAAATTATTTTAATCATCTGTTTCCTTTAAAGACAGGTTCAAGTTGGATATTTGTAAGAAGTCACTACTCAAGAGTCTAGTCTGACTGGTATACCTGTCATATTGGCAAGTCTGGTTATTGTTACCTCATTAAACCTTAAAATGCAGTACTGAACAACAACAACAAAAATCAAGAGCTAGTAAGGAGGCAGGAAGCAGTAAACTTATGATAATTCACCACATTTTGGGAGCACAGGCAGACTGGACACCTGATTGCTATCATCTTTTGTACCTGACTGCTACTGGATTTATAAAAATACCATTTTCTCTGTTGCTCCCTCTACTAGAGCATAAATTTGTACAGGGAGGGAAGTATGGATAAGGTGGTATTTTTAGACATACAAGTTATTCAGTGCAGGAACAATTCCACACAATTGCTTTTATTAGAGCCATGTGCCCTGCCGAGGCTGGGTGAGGTTTTTGCAGACAGTCACCTGATCTCAATAAAGCAACTTCAGTTTCAAACCCAAAAGCCACCTGCACCTCAGCCGAGGACACCAAATTACACTTGAAATACACTTCCAGGCTTTTTAAGAGATTTATCACTGGAATAAAATTAAAGTTCTGTTTGTGCCGTAATTCAAGCATAACAATTTCTCATTTATAAATACAGTCAGCAATGAAAAAAGCAAAACAAGGCAACCAGATCTACCTAGTCTATGGCCTTAACAAAATGATGCTGAAAGAAAGCATGGATGTGACTAGCAACAAATCATTTATTCATGTATTCCACAGGGCTGCCAAGTATTCTTTGCAGCACGGTAAATAAGAATTTACAAGTAGAAATGAAAAAAATGTGCACAAAAAACCCCACCAAAACAAACACCACAATCAAGAAACAAAAAAACCCCAAAACTTTTGATTGTCAGTCATCTAGATATTCTTTGAAAAATAAGAGCTTTTCCCTTAATGGCATTGCTCCTACAGCTGGAACCATTTGTTTGTTTAATGTCTTGGCCAAAAATTAATTGCATGAAGCACTGCTAACTCCTAAGAGATTAACACTTTCACAGGGGAAAAAACATCACTCCAAGGCAAGGAAGCACATGAGGATTTATAAGCCAGACCACAGTTCATTTATCTCCATCTCAGCAAGCCAAGCTCTACTAGGAACTCATACATGGAAACTTCTCAGGCCAACTGGAACGAAGGTGAGAGGAAGAAGAGAGGGGAGAGAGAGCGCGGTAAAGTTAAACTATTTAGACAGCTTCCATAAAACATTCCCCCAGGCTGATCCTTTCCTAGTGGCTGTCAGTGTTCAACCACAGCGGCCAGAGCTTCAGTGGGATTGCTACTAGCAAGGATTCACGGCACAAACTCCAGGAGGATCCAGAGGTCATTACAAGCGCCACCACTCCTGGTTCCAAAGTACACAGTGATCTGTTAGCACATGCCACATCACCCATTTATGAAATCTTTCCACTCCCCATATGACTGAAAAGAAACTGAACAGATCAGGGGAGAATAAGTTAAGTGTGGGGGGAAAGCTACATGCGAAGTTAATGACCTCCTGTAATGAGCTACTCTGGTATCATGACATCAGTGGTGGTCCAAGAACACACATGGCACAAAGCTCTCTGCGAGCCTCTCAGGCCAGATGGACTTACTTCCTTACTGCAAAGGCTCCTGGAGACCAACCAGATACACATGTGCCCCCATTCCTCTGCCACAACTTCCCCTGCATGGTTTGGGGTACAGTGGCCACCTCTCATCATCCACAAGGACAACCTGGGCCAGCCCAAACCAATGTGTCACTGCAACATCTCTCTCTCTGCAGGTCTGTTTTTCCAGCATACGTCTCTTACCTTTCACCAGTACTTTGGGGACTTTTGTGTGGCTGGCACAGAAGGCACTGTACAGCTTGAACCGGTCAGCGTAGTAAAGAAAGGATCCACCCAAGGAAAACAACACTTTCTAGGATTATCAAGAAAAAAAAAAAAAGCATTAGGGAAAAAAGCACATGAAAGCCAGTTAGTTATTTTCCCTTCTGCCAGGTCACCTGAAGTTTCCATTTAGCTTTTGGATTACAGGGTACTGCATTTTTAGAGTGTTTTCACACAATCTAGCAAGAAACAGGCCTAGCCTTAGTGTCTGGATTCAGGCTGTGTGATTAACATCATTAGCCAAGTTCTAGTTAGGACGATCCGGAGACACCACTGACTATAGAGGGGACTAGGTTCACAGCTCCAGAACTGTAGTTAAATGCCTGATCTTAAGACCTTATTGATCTAAGTGATGACCAGATGCCACAGAAAGGACTGGATATATCTGACTTTGTAATGGATCAAGACACTAAGGAGCTGCAAGCAAGACTATTACCCCTCTGCACAAACACAGAATCACAGAATCGCAAGGGTTGGAAGGGACCTCGGGAGATCATCTAGTCCAACCCCCCTGCTAAGGCAGGTTCTCCTAGAGTATGTTACATACCAAAGTCTTTGCTCTCTTGAAAATGAGTTTGTGTTAAGGGACAAACACGATCT